GTTGTTTACGTCTGAGAAAGCAAGAACCTTGTGAATAGCGGAATAGTGGGTCGTTAGATTTTATATGACCAAGTTATGGTCAACGGTCAACGAAGATTAATTCTCTCTCTTCATGCTAATTAAACACATTCGTGACCAAGTCTCTCTTTCTTTATCTCTCGTAATTTTAGTCAAATTCACGTCGGTGCCAAAATTACCAATCTCTATCATTTTGCTTTATTATTTTGCCATAACGAGATTTTGTAGAGTTGAATTTCTGGTTGGACTAGGTGATCACGTGAAATAAATATTTTAAGATTTGAATGGATGTATGTGGCCGGCTATTGAATACAATTGTTTCATGCATTAATTTGATTATTCATTTAAAATTAGTTTCTGTGTAAAAGGAATTCATTACGGTCTAGTAAATTTATTAATCTTTGAATTAGATTAAAAAATTGGGTTGGATTAACTGGACATGGATTAATTAAAAAACCACTAACACCATTTGTTTTAATACACATAACGCATATGATATGAGCATACATCTTTTTAAATCTGCTGCAAATATTCGTAACCCATTAATTGTATACAAATTTTTTACCCTCATGTATGATTCTGATAATGTATTCTGAAGAACATGGATTACTAATTCCCATCAAGTTTAGTTTATCATCAAGGTTAGTTTACACGATTTAACTAAACCAAAAGTTAAGTCTAAACCAAAAGTTTAGTTTACACGCTAGAAAGAAAAATGTATATATACAATTAGCTCATAAACTAAGAAAGTTTTATGATAAAAAAAATTGGGATCATGATAGCGCCAGTCCTCTTTTATCTATGCAACTAAACACAATTTTTCTCCAGATTTTTGTCTTTTTTTTTTACAATACAAACAATTGTTTTACAACAACGAAAGTTTTATGTCTCTTTGTAATTACACAAATAATATATCATTGTTGAATTTCGTTTGTTTAACCGATAAGAATCACTTTACAAACAACCCTCACTAATCAAATTGGAAAAACATAAAATTAAATTTTTTATAAGATTATAATTAAGACGAAGTCCAAAAAAATGTTCCAATTCGATTAGTGAAAATTGATTTTGGAAAAAATATTTTCGGGCTGTATCCATGTCTAATTGTGTTTTCTTCAATTCAAAACCAATCACGGTTTGACATGTCGAAATTGTTTAAGTAAACGAAATTCAACAATTTGATTTGGTTGTATAACGATTAGGAAAAATTGTTGTTGTTATATAATAAAAAATTTTCAAAAAATTATAATAAAAAAGTTTTTTTTTTAAAATGTGAATAATGCGTTTTAGTTGCATAACTAGATGGAGACTAGCGCAGTACAAAAATTACATATGATAAAATACAAACTTAGAAGTACAATAATTGTTGACAAAAAAAAAATAGATAAGTAGTAAAAATTAGGGAACTAGTAATCTCTGGTCTTCCTGCCTATTTTCATCAACTACGCATGTATCACAATTATAATAATCTTACAACTATAGGTTTTGCATTCATTACTAATTAATGTAGAAGTAGAATTCATCAAACTTCCAAGTCAATGGTAGTCTACATATGAATAAGTAAGAGAAATGAATAAGTAAGAATGGTTCCCAACTTTTGATGGAATGATTCGTGAATGTTTATAATAGACTCGAAAAGACTTGAAACATATGCCTTTCTAGAAAAGGTATTCGTTTTCATGAATTTGGGTATTGATATAAACCCCTGTATTAGTGAAGAGCTGAAATAATTGTTTTTTTTTTTTTTTATAAAAGCTGAATGTTTTACTCTATTGAAAAAAAAAGATTCGTATATTCATTTTCTTATGAAAGGATTGGATAGTTTTAAAACGTAGTTAGAAAAAAGTCAATATTTTTTTGCAAAAAGTATTGAATTAATAAAGTATTGTATTAATTTTTTATCGAAAGAAGAACAAGATCTCGTCATATAATATACGTAGGTGTGTATGTATTAATACATATATGATTGAGGAACAGTTGACCCTAACCCGTCATAGGAACAGAAATAACTTCTCTCGTAAGGATCAGTCTCTCGTGTCGGCCCTTTTTGACTTGGCAATCCAATTAGAGTTTAGTTTTTGGTTTACAATACAACTAAAAATATATTAAACATAACAAAAATTGACGTAATACTGACATAGATAGCTGTTAGACACAAACTAAGTTCACATTAACGAATCAAAATATATATGTCATAGAAAGATTAGCGTATCCCAAGCAACAGAGAATCACTCAAAATGAGTTTGATCGTCAAAATCTAGAGGTTGTTGATTCTACATGTGCATGGTTGTTGCTATCTCCCAAGGGGTAAGTTTCGATATTGTGCATGGTTTTCATAATGGGTTTGTCTTTTTGGTTTCTTCTAAAGG